GGGCCGGGCCGGTCTGTGTCCCACTGCCCCCCACAAATGGGCCCTTCCCCTCCGCGGGGTGCGGGAGCCCCCGCGGGACCGGCTCTGCGCGGGTACCGTGTGCGTGTGCGTGTACACGGGTGTGTGTGTACGTGCACATGTGTGGGCAGCCCGTGCGTGTGCGTGTGGATTCTGCGTGTGTCTGTGCACGCGTGTGAGCAGGGCCTGTGTGCGCAGGCCTTGCGTGTGGGTGTGCGTGTGCAAGTCCCGTGTGTGTCTGTGCACGTGTGAGCAGGGCCTGTGTGTGTGTGTGCATGTGTGCAGAGCTGTATGTGTGTGTGCACAGACCCTGTGTGTATGTGAATGTGTGTGCAGAGCTGCACGCGTGTGTGTGTGCAGAGCTGCACGCGTGTGTGCACGTGTGTGCAGAGCTGTACATGCAGAGCTGTACACATGTGTGCAGAGCTGTGCGCGTGTGTGCACGTGTGTGCAGAGCTGTGCGCGTGTGTGCACGTGTGTGCAGAGCTGCACGCGTGTGTGCAGAGCTGCACGCGTGTGTGTGTGTGCAGAGCTGTGCGTGTGTGTGCAGAGCTGTGCACGTGTGTGCAGAGCTGCACGCGTGTGTGCAGAGCTGCACGCGTGTGTGCAGAGCTGCGCGCGTGTGTGTGTGTGCAGAGCTGTACATGCAGAGCTGTACACATGTATGCAGAGCTGCGCGCGTGTGTGCAGAGCTGTGCACGTGTGTGTGTGTGCAGAGCTGTACGCGTGTGTGCAGAGCTGCACGCGTGTGTGTGTGTGCAGAGCTGCACGCGTGTGTGTGTGTGCAGAGCTGCACGCGTGTGCGCGCGCCGCTGCCCGCGTGCGCACACGCGTGTGCTCGCGCAGGGCGAAGCCGCGCACTGGCTGGCCTGCGCCCTGTACGTCGCCTGCCGCAAGAGCCTCGTGCCCACGGTGGGCAGCGGCCTCATGGAGGGCAACGGCGTCTCGCTCACGCGGATCCTGCGCTCCGCCAGGCTCAGGTGCGTCGCCGCCGCGTCCCCGCTCCTGCGGGCAGCGCCTTCTCTGCGTGCCCAGCGCGGGCAGCCTGCAAGTGCGCAGTCTGGCTTCCCCTAAATACGCACTCTGGCTTTCCCTAAGTTTATCCACAGCCCTTGAAAACCACCCACATCATCAGAATAACAATTATTCCACCCACGGAGGTGGTTTTTTCCCCATTCTTTCTTTCCTCTTGTAGTTAATTGAAACGCAGTCGAGATGTCCAAGTTGTTCATTAATCATCCAGATAAAACTTGGGCCTGACGTGGGGTGCTGGGCAGAAGGTCGGGTTTGGCCTCGGCCGCTGTCGCGCGGGGCTTTGGGAGCGCCGAGCTCGGCAGCTCCGTGAACGCCCCTGGGCTCCGAGGGCTTTCCGGGCAGCCTCCATCCATGACCGCCCTGCTTCTAGCCCTTGATGTAACTCCAATGTTCCACTTCAGACGCCCTTTCCAGCGGCACAGCGGGAGGGGGTGGCTCGTGTTGCACCTGCCCATAAAGGGCCCGGTCTCCCCGTGGCCGGGGTGGCTCTGCTGACCTGCCTTCCAACACGAGTATTTCCGTGGCTCTACCTTAAAGGGAGTCAGGAGAAAGGTCTAGATATGAGGGGGCAGGAAGCCTCAGTGCGTGCAGTTTGGCAGTGCCTCAAAGTAATCGTTAAACCTACGTATTAATTAAACTAATTGCTGAGGATTAAACGTGTCGTATTTTATCAGAAACTGACAGAATAAACGAATCAAGTTAAAGCTCATAATAAAATAGATTTTTTTCCTTCTCCTTTGAAGTTTAATTCAGTTTTTCAGCAAAATGAAAAAGTGGATGGACATGTCAAATCTACCGCAGGAATTCCGAGAGCGAGTGGAACGGCTGGAGAGAAATTTTGAAGTGTCAACAGTGATTTTCAAAAAGTTTGAACCCATATTTTTGGATATATTTCAAAACCCTTACGAAGAAACTTGCAAGCCACCAAGAAGCAGGAAGCAGAGGTACTTGGAGGCTTGGGGGTCCTGCGGCTGCCCGGCGGAGAGAGCCCAGGCCTCGGAGCGCTCCTTTGTCTGGGCAAAGGCCCCGTGGGGCTGCGGGGCAGAGCGGTGGTTCCGGGGCCTCGCGCGGCACCCGGGCTGGGGCGTCTGCCCCACGTGTCGCTCTGGAGAAGGGGCTGTCATACCAGTGATAGTTCCATGTGTTGAAGGGATGACTGATGTTCTGATCAAATAGTTAGGAAAAAATCTGGTGTAATTTATATACCCCTTGGCGTCTTGCTCACAACACCAGGTGAATTTTATTTCATTTGTTTATTTCTTTACAATTGTGGCAGCAGAAAAGAACAGTGTGTCTAAGAGTCACCGAGTGCTGTTTGCTCGAAGAGAGGATGAGAGGATCAGTGATGAGGTGTTACATGCTCTGTGGCCCTAGATAGGAGCGTTAATTACTGAACAGTGAAATAAGCTTGTATGGCTTGCGCTGTGCCTCGGTGCGGAGTAGCCCTTCTGAGCCGGGGAACTGTGTGAAACCGTTGCGGTGAAAACTGGTTTCGGCTTCGTGGAATTGCAGACTCCTTCTTCCCTGTCCTTGGCAGGCGAGTGCCGTGCAGCGTTAGAGATCTCTTCAACTTCTGCTGGACTCTCTTTGTGTACACGAAGGGTAGGCTGGTTTCGTTTTATCCGTTGTGCTGTTTGTGTCTTGGGTTATTAACTCGTTTATATTGTTTGATGTGATACACTGTCTCTTCAAGGTAATTTCCGTATGATTGGAGATGATTTAGTAAATTCCTATCATTTGCTTCTGTGCTGCTTGGACCTGATTTTTGCAAATGCCCTCTTGTGTCCAAATAGAAGAGATTTGCTAAATCCGTCATTTAAAGGTATGAGGAGACAGCTTATTTAAAATCAAACATGGTTTGATCTTTAGAGTTAAGTCCGTTGTAAAGCTAAAGAGCCCGTGGCCTCTCCCTTGCCCCTCTCCCTGTTTCCAGGCCTACCCGCGGACTTCCACGCGCCGGAGAGCCCGGCGGCTGAAGGGCCTCCCTGCATCATTGCCACGCTCTGCGAGCTGCACGACGGGCTCCTCGTGGAAGCTAAAGGAATAAAGGAACACTACTTCAAACCATACATCTCCAAACTGTTCGAGAGGAAGGTGTGTTGCACTGGCTCTGAGAATATGTGATGGTCCGCAGATAAATGGTGTCACCTTAAAACCACTTAAATCCAAGGTCTTGTGGAAAGTGGCTCATAGGTGGGTGGGTTTGGAAGTGATGAGTTTTCCTCTGAACATGTTTAGCAGAAATAGATTTTACTCTCACTTTTCATGCTGCATAAAGCTTTTTAGTGTGGCTGGCGAGGTGAATGGGGAATTTCTATCTTCTGTTCATGGCATTGTGAAACACAATAAATTATTTTAAGAGAGGAAAACAAAGTTACCTCTTTGTAAATTAACTTTATAGGGTAGTGATATGGTGGCTTCTTATTCTTGTCTTACTGTTTAGCAAAGTGTTTCTGATGCAGTGGTCGAGGTTGCAGCTGCACAAGCCCTTCTGTCTGCTTTTGAGCCTGCAAGGTTGTTTCTGTGCTCTGTGGAAATGTATATACAGTTCACATTCATCCGATCACTCCCTTAGCTGAAGGAGGAACGGGTTTGAGGTGGCAACGCTCATTTTGACAAATGAGGTTTTGTGGATGGGATGGAATTAAGTTCTGTTCCCAAAGTCTTGCTAAGGACCTTGTGTGCAACAAGATACCCAATTATGTTCCTAACCATTATTCTACCTTTCTGCTAAGCTGTGCTGCAGAGTAGGACCAGTTGTGATTTGCATTATAGAAAATGTTTATACCGCTTTTCTTTTTTTTTTTTTTCTTTTTTTTTCTTTTTCAGATCTTAAAAGGAGAATGTCTGTTGGATCTGTGCAATTTTACAGAAAACAAGTAAGCTGTGGAGTATGTTCTTAGTCATGGGTTTGAGTTTCATTTCTAAAATTCACGTCTTGGGATGCTCTATATCAGACTTTTCCTTCCTCTGTCCATAGTTGACCATTTTTAATTACGTGGCAAGTAAATCTGTTACTGATTGGCGGAAGTGGTCTCTGAGATCTGACAGTTATCCTAGGGTTTTCTGCGCAGCAGCGGTGACTTTTTTCAGGTTTTACGGTGTTTGCTTCCCTGCTCACGAGGGGTGAGCATCCCTGTCACCTTTGGAAGTCTGATACACAAATCAAGATCTTGGCTCTCAAGTTCTGGTTTCTGTACGTAACTCAGATATTTAAGTACTCTGTTTTCTGTGTATGGAAGCTTAGTTTAGGTAGTTACCTGTTTCCTGTGAAATCTGTGACTGCACTAGAACAAAGCAAAGACAAAAAAAAAAAAGTGAGACTTGTAAAACCACAAAAAGGGGATAAAAGCACTTCTGTGTGGGGCTTGTGTAACTGTTTTTAGAAAAGTAAGTTGAGTTCATTTCTTGAAGCTAATTTAAAGCATCTGCTGTTAATCTCTATTTGTTTGGGATAATCTTCAGGATTTTCTTTTTTGCTTTCTTCAAAATACCTAATAACTTGAATTTGTAAGATCAGTCTCCATCTTCTCAGTTCATTTTATGAGAATTACAAGCAAAGACTTGAATTGTTTTAAAGGGCTTGAATTGTTAAAGCTCGAATTGTTTTAATGATACTCTGACATAGATGGATATAAAGCAGCATTGATATAACCCATATAAAGCAGTGAAGCAAATGTAGCTGCTGATTTTAGTATTCCTACTTAATAATATTGCTGTAATAATATATGATAATGCAGTAGTCCTTATTCTCTTGTAAGCAACTTAAAAATCCAAAGGAAACGTGGACGCCTGGCTGTTTCTTTGTCCAAACTTGTTTGTAGAAATTTATATTTTTCTAAAAGAATGTAAGATGACAAACCTACAAAATAGTTGCAAGCTTGCCGTGGTGCCGCTGAGCCACTTAACGTGTGACTGTGTCATATGTGAATGTATGAGGTGTCTTTGCCCGTGAGAGTAAAAATGTTCTCTACCTGCAGGTATGGTAGTATAAGTATATGTTAATGTAAACTGGCAGGTAGGGTTTAATGATGCTTCTGGTATTTGTTGCCAAGCTTCCTTCTGCTTCCCAAGCACCAGCCTAAGGTTCTGCGACCTTAACAAGGGTCAGTATTCCTGTGCTACAGATAGGTGAACTGAAATCAAGAAAATGAAGGATTTATTTGGTGTCTTACATCAGAGAGGGCTTGGGAATGGAACCCAGGGCCTGGAAAATTGGTTCTCCCTCTCTCGGCCGCTATGGTAAGTGCTGACGCCGAGTAGCGGGAGCACAAATGGGACCTCCTAGCACGTCTCACACAGCTGCGGCTGCTCTGTTCCCTGTTCACAGAAGGTGAACTTCTGGCCAATTCAGGAATTAAAAACTGTTTCACCTACAGCTGCAAGAGAAGTAGTTTCTTTCTTCCTCTGTTTGCTGAGAACCAAACGTTGGAGGTCTCCTAGGGAGAAAAAAGGCTCATGGCGGATCCTATAGGGAACAGGGGAGGCTTTAAGTAAAGAGGAAGGCAAGGTTTAGCACAAGCAAATGGTCTCTTGTGGGAAAATGTGAGTAACTAGTCGTGCTGCTATTTAAAGTATGGCATGCTTGGAATGCCTCTTGGTTGCAGTTTTGTACTTTGCTGGTGCCTCTTTTGCTTCCTTAGCAGCGTAGCCTCTGATCACAACACACTGTGCTTTCCCTTTCAGCAAAGCATTGAATAAAGAGTACGAAGAATACGTCCTAACCGTGGGTGACTTCGATGAGAGAGTTTTCCTTGGAGCAGATGCCGAGGAGGAGATCGGCACCCCTCGCAAGTTCCCTGCCGATGTGCCGGCGGGGAAGGCGGCAGCCAGAGCTCACGTGGAGTGTCACCTGCAGCAGCATTTTGAAAAGGTGAGTCAGGTAACCTCACGTTCCCTTAAAATGCTCTGGTTTTGTTTTTTTTTTCTCCTCTCTCCATCCTTCGCTGAATCACTTCTGAAAAGTTAAATTTCTTGACATTTTACTAAGAGCCAAATGCTGAGCCTCATACTCAGGCTCCAGGGAACCCTCTTGATAAGGAGAAATTGTAGTGTTTTCTCTTGTGATTTACTAGGTAGCTATCCCTTAAAGAAGGCGTGAGCACTTTCATATATGAAACATATGTGTACATTACACATATGTGAACATATGTGTAATATGTTTCCATTTTTAAATTTCTAATTGATAAATTACTCTATGAAAGTGCATGAGGTATAAATGGAGTTTGACCAAAATCTTTACGAATACCAGAAACTTTTTTATGTTGGATTAATTTGCTTGTTTCCTAGTATTTCTCTTTCAATACAGGAAATGTCAACTTATTTGCTATTCTGTAGGAAATAACATTCAAGACATAAATTTGACAGATGTGAATGCCGGAGCGGCGCTTCCCGGGGCTGCGGTGCCCCTGTGCCAGGCAGCCCTGCAGCGCCCGCCGCGGCTCCTGGGGGCTCTCGGGGGAGGCACGTGCTTTCCTGCCCTCCGTCTTTCAATATTTTAGATCTGGGCTTGAGGATCAGAAGTCTCCATTCTCTGAACTGTACTTAAAAACTTAAAAAATTGACTTTACTCTGTACTTACAAGTGACAGCCTTGGAAAAGGCTTCAGATATCTTTTAGTGAATTTTGAGGTCACAGCTTTGATAGCAGCCTAGAGGTGACATATTCCATGTGACTTGCAGTGTGGTTTTAATCTTTTTTTTGCTATTTTTTTCCTTTTTTTTTTTTTTTTTTAAGGGCATCCCTGTTGAAAATGTTTTGAGCCACTTCTTTTGACCCATTTGTTTACTTTTTTTTGTTCTCTGTCTGGCAGAAAAGGTCATTTGCCCCCTCAACTCCGTTGACTGGCAGGAGATACCTGCGAGAAAAAGAAGCCGTCATCACCCCGGTCGCGTCGGCGACGCAGAGCGTGAGCCGGCTGCAGACCATGGTGGCCGGGCTCAAGAACGCCCCCAGCGAGCAGCTCATGGCTATTTTTGAGTAAGTGCCTGCCCCGAGTGACTCGAGCGCGCAGGGAAACCCGCTTTGCTCCAAGTTTGGCTCTCTTGTGTGGCGCAGTGTTTGCATGATCGCTGCCATATATCTTTGAGTCCTAAACAAATATGGATGAATTAAAATAAATATTGACCGTGACGGTAGAAGTTTGGGGAGCAGGAGGTATGTGAGTCAATAAGCTGGAATCTTTGCTTTAGCGACGTGGGAAAATGAGACTAACTGCAGCCAGAGGGCTCTCCATATCTCTGTAATATCACTCCTGGATACCTTAGTTTAGCTTTATCGTTTGTATATAAGCCTGAAATTGGGTAACTGTAGCTCGTTGAACTGCGTGTCTGTGTGGCAGGCCTGCAGAGAGCCTAGGTCGCTGCAGCCGTTCTGTTCAGGATCGTGCTCCTAGCACATCCGAGAGCGGCCCTAGCCCCCCGAGCTGAGGGGAGCTGCGAGGTGAAGGTGACCCCAACCCTGAGCCGCCGCGGCTGCAGTGGGGCCCCGCTGTGTAAAGCGGCCGGGTTTTGGCCCCTCCTTGCACGGCTGCAGGCCGGCTGGGTGCGGAGCACAGGGCGAAGCCGGGCTGCCGGAGCAGAGCACAGAACCAGCCTTGGTGCGTGTGAGGTAGAGAGTGTTGCTTCATAGCTCATCAACGGCTATAATTCGGTAATAAATAACTGTAATATTATTGTGTGCTTATCAAACGTCCGTACAAGGTCATGCCTTTATGGAGTGGCATTTAAGAATCTCTTATAATTAGTCAAAATGGATATTTAGCACTTATTTATGAATCTGGTATTTCAAATACTATGTAAAACTTTCAGTTCTCTTTTGAAATAAGACATATTTTGAGGCATATTTTAGTACTTGTTTCCAAAGTTTACAAGTGCTTAGCAGCATGCCGTTGTATTTTGAGTATTTTTTTAGGACCATTTGTTAATGTTTTCATTACCCAATTAACATGCTAACTCGTCTGAAATCTCTAAATGAAACAGCTGAATTTCATTTCTGAATGAAAAGCTGAAACAGCTTTTTCATTAAGAATAACCTAATCTTTCAGAGAGAGATGAAAATACTAACAAATGGGTGAGCGTTGATTAGACCTCAAGCAAAGTATTCAGTAAGTTCTTCCTTTATCTTGCACATGGGCTCAGCAAACAGAAGCACAAGTTATTTTCTCTTTAGTAGCAATAGGAGGAATTGTTTGAGCTATGCAGTATTTTGTGTTTCCAATAACTTCTATTTCAAGTGAAAATGTTTTAGAAGTATAACACTGTAATTAGCTGGAAGGCTTTGATTGAAGCTATGATTTATTTCAATGCTGCCCTTTTCGAGGCAGTTGAGTGTCTCAATTTGAAGCTCATCAGAAGGCACTGTGCTCTGATGCCAACTTTCTGGAAGGGCTGAAGCCTTCAGAAAGGCCCTTGTACATGGAGAGACCCTCGAGCTTATTTCCTGATAGCAATTGTTGGGCTCCTCATGGTGCCCCTCTACAACACAGTCTCACTATTAAATGAGGTCTCTTCCTGGTGTTGTAGCTTGAATTCAGAGTCTGTTTTAAGACTGTCCTTGGCCCCTTCCTCCCTGTGTTTTTGCAAGGGGAGGTAATTTGTTCTCTGAGGTGACGTTAAATTATTTTAAAATTGATATTTTCGGACTATGATACTTTTCAAAATGATATCAAACACTTGTTTATTAAGCCAGCTCTTGAACATGCAGATTTTTTGTGAATCTGCATTTACTTCATTCTTTTACTGGTACTTCAGCATATAATATAGATGCATATGAATTGGTTTTGAGGTCTGGCTCTCCCGTCTCCCTTTAAATCTGTTTCCATTCAAAGTCTTTAGGCTATTACTTTTGGTCTGCTTTGATTTGTGGATACCTGAATCTTTTCCCCTGACCACCCACAAGCTCCTCTTAGAGAATTTAAGTTATGAAAGAGTTTTTGGTTGTTTGTTTTGGTTTTTAATCCTTTGCCTTTCAGAGAAAAGCAGCGTGCAAATGGCAAATTAAAGGTCACACTTGAGCGGAAATGCAGCTGCTGAAAGCTGAACTTTGGTTTATTCTTGTATTTTCTGGGGAAAACATTTTGCATAAACTCCAGAATTCTAAGACAGAAAGGTCTTAGTCAGGAGTCTCTATTGCCTTTCATGGTTAAGGATTTTCCTTAACCAAACCTTAGTAAAGAGAGAACACAAGGGCTGAGTGTGCTCGTCTGCACGCTGCGGTGGGCCCTTGGTTGCACCTCGTAGCGTTGAGGTGAGGTTGGGTTTGTCTCTCTTCCCTGCTCACCCTTTGGCTCTTTGCAGGTCACACTCTTCTGGACCGGAGGCTGTAGTGTGCAACTAGCATGTAGTTAAATGCTGCTCCTGCATTTAACACTGCTGAAGGGCTTTCTTCCATGAAGTTGTCTTTATTTTTAGTTTACTTGGCAGCCTTCCCCAAACCTTCCCTCCTAAGCTGGCTGGCCGGCGCCTTGGCTGCTGTTACCACGTTTCCCCCTTTATTCACGTGCATTACTTTGTGTAGCAGTGATGTGTGTTTGCTTTCACTCTGTGGAGCGAGTGTTTAACAGGGTGAAGTGCTTCTCTAGGTCGCTGCAAAGGGCTCGCAACAAGCATCTCCAAATCCCTCCAGCGTTGCAGACCTCTCGTTAAGGGGGTTTATCTACATTCTCCCTGTGAGAATCCTTCACGGACAGCACACAGGCTAATAGCTGCTTGATAGGTTAATAACCCATTGAAGGGTAGGAATAAGGAGCCCCGTTCTTGTTGTCTCTTGCCAACGTTGTCTGCTCCGGGAGGCTAATTTCTGCCCTGCACAAGAGCCCGCAGCAGCAGCCCCGAGCGCAGGCTCGCGGCGTCTGGCCTTGGACGCTCCGGGAAGGGCCTGCCTGCTTCCTACCTGCCTGCAGCTTTCTGTTCTGTGCTTCCAGCAAGGTGATACAATCTGCAGAAATAAATATTGATACGGAATTATGGTTGTATTTCAAGTAGGAGTCTGTGGGTTTGTCTGTCTTGTTGCAATTGATTTTCAGTTTTTATAGGTAGTGACTTCTTGCTTTGGAAACCCTTTACTCTGGAACAGTGCCTGTGTGTGCAGGTGCCTGGATGCGTTTGGGTTAGCTCTTGCAGCAAACTTCTTGCTGCCTTCCTCTTCCCAATGTGTCTTTCTGTGGGAGGGCCCCAGGGAGCAGCCTCCCCGTTTGTGCCAGCAGGACTTTCTCTTTGTGTCCCCTGCAGATCCTGCGCGCGCAGCCCCATGGAGAGCATCGTGAGCAGGGTGAAGGAAATCGGTGAAACTTTCTGTCGGAGCTACACGCAGCCAACGGACGAACAGCCCGGATCTCATATAGGTGAATGTGAAATGTGTGGCCTGCTTCAGAGCGTGGAACCAGGCAAATGAAACGCGTGCCTAAGCTTGCCTTGACAGAACTGTTTCTCTCGAGCAGAACACTGTAAAAAGTATTACAGAATGGAACAAGGTTGTAGTTCAAAATGGGATAATTAAGAAAACATTGAAACTTCAGCAGCTGATAACTAGACTTTAAATTTATATTTTTCTTGGATATAAAATTTAAAGGCAAAAGGGTGTAAATTTGCCGAATTCTGTACTTAGAGATATTAAAATACAAAATCCTTTGATATTTTTTTTGTAGAATTGCATACTGTTCATTAGAAATTCTTTGGTCACACTTTTGGTCTAGAAAATCTATATATGCACACACATGCTTTTTTTTTTTTTTTATGTAGAAGACCAAGTATCAGTCAACTTGGTCTAAAACAGTTTTCTAAAACAGCATTGGGCTTTATCAGTGTGGTTTTAAATTTCAGATTTTGCTGTAAACAGATTAAAACTGGCAGAGATCTTGTACTATAAAATCTTGGAGACGATAATGGTCCAAGAAACACGAAGACTGCATGGGAAGGACATGACTGTAAGTAAAAGAGAACACTTTTCCTAAGTCCCCACTCCAGGGAACTATGCTTAGACAGCTCCAGAACAGATTGGTCTGTTTTTGACCAGCCTATGTTTTAAAAAAAAAAAAAAATTGTATGAGAGGTGCCTTGATTGTACGTTGATTACTGTTATAAAGGCTAAAGACTCAGCATTACTAACTATATTAATTTACATTGACTTTTAGAACCAAAAGCCATCCGGCAGATATTCTCATTCTCTTCTTCATCCTCTTACCAGTATTGGCACTTGGTGTCACGCGGGAGTTTTTAAATATAAAAACTCTGCCTCCACTTCCCCATCCTCAGATCCCTGACCGTTTCCATAATTTCTTCAGGCTCTCCTGGAACAAGATGTCTTTCACCGCTCCCTGATGGCGTGCTGCCTGGAGATTGTGCTTTTTGCATATAGCTCCCCCCGCACCTTTCCCTGGATCATTGAAGTTCTGGATCTCAGGCCTTTCTATTTTTACAAGGTAAATGGCTGCTGCTTTTTTACTGGACATATCCTTATATTTATCCTTAAATATTTTACCTGGCATGTATAAGGCTTCAGTTGACACAGAAACTTAAAGCAAGAAAAGCAAGAAAACCATTTTGTAAATGGTACTCAGCTGTGGTATGTTGTTACTCAATTTCTAACACTAATTAAGTACAGCTTTGAGTGGGATAAAGCAGTTGATAAATTCAGTTGAATGCGTTAGCTGACGACAGGCTGTTGGACTGCTTGTGTCCTAGTTCTGCTTATCACAGATAAGATAGCAATAATCCTTTATCTTTGACTGCTCCTACCTATTTCAGACTTGTTCTGTAAAGTTTCTTTTTTCTTGTTTTCCATAACAGAGCAGAAAGTGTTTTTCCCTTGGTGTTCTCTTACTGTTGCTGTGGTTTGCAGGCGATGGAGTTGTGGTGCTTTTTGGTTTGTTTCTTTATGTTTGTTTGTTTTCTTTCTCACCAGCAAATACCTCTTTTCTTCCGTAACTCCTTTACTTGTTTGATCCTCTTAACACCTATTTGTGACTCCTATGCAAAACTCCTGGGAGTTTTTACTAGATACCTAATAACTACAGTTACTAGTACTGAAAGCATTAAATTGCCTCTGTTTAGAGGATAATAACCCAAAAGGATCAAATCCCTTAGGAAACATTTGTTTTATATCCTATTCTTCCTTCTCCTTTAAGCTTCAGATATAAGGCAGTAGTGAAACTGAAACAGGTCTGTTACTATTGCTGCCAGCCTTGGTAGCCTCAATCAGTAGCAGATGCTCTCGTGTTTTCTCTGCAGAAATAACTTTGTGCAACAGATTTATATTTCATTTTCTTTTATGTTGTGCATTTGTTTTCATTGCACTTTTTACTTCAAAAAGCTGCTATCATGAAGACCTCTCAGGAAGGAGTTGATGTTCGTTGTTTCACTTGTGGTTTTTGTTCTTTAGCAGGTCGCTCGGGGAGTGTATGGCACTCTGAGGGTATAAAAGAGGAGATATATATATATACACATATATATATATATATCCTCCATCACTGAGGGTATAAAAAACAGACTGAGCATTCATCTATTGGAAATAACATAGATAAAGTGGATCTAACAGTAGACTGGAGGGATAAATTATGACCCTACAAAGGGATTTTCAGCTATTGCTGGAACTGAATCTGTATGCTCAGGGATGGCAAGAGGGGGCCTCGCAGCAGGTTTTGTTGGTGCATTGGGGTGTGAGCTGGATTGCTCAGAGGGACTGGGAAAGTTTTGAAGGGATGAAGATGTGAGGCAGAGGCTGGAACATCCGGTACAGTCTGAAGAGAGAGTGTGTGTGTGTGTCTGTGTAGTCTTTATTTTTTTTATTTGGGTTCCTGAAATGAATAATATGATGATATGAAGTACAAGGGATGCAACTTCTGTTGTTTTCTACGTGTTCCTTGCTGCCCTCAGGTCATCGAAGTCCTGATTCGTTCTGAGGATGGTCTTTCCCGAGACATGGTGAAGCATCTCAACAGCATTGAAGAGCAAATCCTGGAGAGCCTGGCCTGGACGCGGGAGTCAGCCCTCTGGAAAGCGCTCCAGGCCTCGGAAAACAAGGTCCCAACCTGTGAAGAAGTATGTTAGCTGGTTTTCTTTCACTTGCAAATTCAGGTTCCTTATTACTCTCACTTTATATAGCAGATCATTCAAATAGGATAATTTCTACAGAAAACACTTATTTATTTTTGTACAGAAAACAGTTATTTGTTATCTTACGCTGGCATTTCTTATTTCTCAGGTAATCTTTCCCAGTAACTTTGAAGCAAGCAACGGAGGTGGGGGGCTTGGGCACTTGCCCATGATGCCAATATCTCCAATAATTCATCCTCGAGTCAAAGAGGTTCGGACAGATCTCGGTGGGACTTTAAGGCGGGGTATGTTCCCGGGTTCTGTTGTGTTTTAAATGCATGCTTTTATGTATTTATTTAAGGACTGCTTTAGAGTTAGGAAGAGCAATCCTGAGGCTGAACCAAGTATTGCTAAATGGAAGCAGTTTCAGCCTGCGTGCACCTGTGAAGCCCTGTTTGTGTTTTAGTGGCAGCAGAATCAGTGGTGACGCCTCATTTCTGCGCTGGAGCTGGGTCCTCCTCCATTTGGATGGAATGGGTGCCCCGCTCTTGGAGTGGATGGTCGTCTCTGATAGTGTCGTGTCCTTTGCTCTTCATACTTTCAGTCTGTTCTGCCTTTGAGAAAGTATAATCTAAATGTAGCTTCCTCTCTGTGCTTTCTAGCATTTTTGAGAGGTCTCACTGCTGTCGCAGTCTCACTGTTCTTACCCTTCAGAGCAAGTGTCTCAGCCTCTGCTTTCCTGCCCCTTCAAGTCCAGAGATACTTGCCACTGTCGCCTCTTGCTTTGCTTCTTGCCGTCATAAGTGGATCTTTTGCTCCTTCCTCCAGAACTCTTTTTGCAGGAGGGGAGGGAGATGCCGGCAGTGCCTGGCTGGGCGGTGCTGACTGGCTGCACTTCTTACCTGTGGCCTGGAAGGCTTCAGCTTTGCGGGGCGTAGGAGGCTGCAGTCGCCGTACGTGTGGTTTTGGTTTGTGGTGGTTCTGTTGTCGTTGTTCCCTCCCTCCCAGAGTAGCTGCTGCAGAAATACAGTGGAACAGAAGCCTGAACATTAGTATTTACATGCTTTAGTTTTGCTGAAGATCTTTAAAAGCAGCTGAGAGCAGGCTGAAGGGGACTGGAGGTATGTGGGGGGAAGGCTCTTGTTGGAATTGGTTTAGAGAGAAGATAATTTCTTAATCAGAACGGGTTTATTATATTTTGTCACTTGTTAGGTTAACCTTTTGCCTCACGCGGAGAAGTTCCTCTTGAGCTGCTGCCCTGCATTTTTTCCTCCTCCTTTGCTTGCTAGACGTGCAGCCGCTGTCGCCCATCTCCGTCCACGAGCGCTACAGCTCTCCTGCAGCCGGGAGCGCCAAGAGAAGGCTCTTCGGAGACGACAGCCCCAAGGAGCTGCAGCTGGAAAAGGGTTGGACTGAAGGCACCAAGCTGACCATCGCTCCGGCTTCAAGTGTCCTTGCTGAAAGTGTCTCTGTTTCTCCTGGGCAAACAGTGCTGACCATGACAACTGCTGCAGTGGCAGGGAAATCGGCACAGAGGGTTACCATCCCGCTGCATGGTAAGGCTTCCTCCCGTGCTACCTCTTTGGCTTGTGCTTAAGACCAGGTAGAGTAAACCTGCATTTTTTTTTGAAAACGTGGTGTTTAAAAGAATACTCTTCATTCAAAAATAAATGAGAGAGCCGGTGCATAGTGATGTCTCATTGTGAAGTTTGATCTGCTGCCCAACAAGGAAGCCTGGGGGTTTGTCCTGGCAAGCCAAGTTGTGGAGTCTTTTCCAGTTACACTTTGCTGCAGATAAAGCTTGGTTTTAGTTATCAGCTGCAATAGTTATTCACCACTATTTGTGTTTTAGCATTACAACAAAAATTATCTGAAGTTTCTGGATAAGGACACTCTATATGTATAAATACGAAGAAAATTGTTGGGTTTGTTTTATTAAAGCTGAAAGATATTTGAGTATTTCTGGTGGTGATAGACAAGAAATTGTATCGCTTTTTTGGCTTAAAAAATAGTTCTTGTTTTTCTGTAAATAAAACCCACTTCTACCGTCACATTGAAAGAGATTTTCAGCAAGAGGATTTAACTTATCCATACTTATGGCTTATCCATATTTTGCAAACTAGACATGATATAAACGTAAGAAAACTTGCCCACTGCCCAGAGTGGAAGTAGTGCAGAAATTTCCCGTGAGTTTCTTGTGAATGTTGTGCTTGATCTGGATAGTTTTAGAACATGAATGTGAATAACTGCTGCTTTTGAGTTACCAGAAACGCACTTTTTGAGCATTTCTGAATACTCTGAAGGATAAAGTCTGTAGCCTCCCGTGCAGAGGGGTGACGTGTCTTCGTGGGGAATGCTTGCAAATCCTGGAGCGTTCGCAGTCTGACGGTGCACGCGGTGGCCGCGAGCGGCTGCCTTCCCGCTGTGTGTGTCATCCGCAGGCATTGCAGGCGACATGGGAGGGATCACGTTGATACCCGTTTCGATGAATTTAGGTCAGCCGTCTAAAACGGAGGCCGCGGCTCCCAGCCAGCCCCAGGGGAGTCAAGCGCAGGAAGTGCCTCCTCCGTCGGGAAGCAAACCCAAGAGAACGGGCTCCTTGGCCCTGTTTTACAGGAAGGTAAGGGTCTCTGTCAGGAAGTGACGCTTCATGTTTCTCGTGGCTCTGGTGCAGCTTATCCCCTGGAGCAGTTTCCACGTTTTCATTACTTTCCAGCCCTCAGGTACCTTCCCTTTGGCACGAACAGCCCCCTGTTACTGGGGGGAGAAGGGGAAGGATGAGGGTTGCTTAATTCTTGCACAGAATCAGGTCCACCCTATCTCCCTGGCTTCATTTGTGAAGTGGTGAAGGGGTTTAAGGGCTGGAGTAAGATCTGAATGCCTCAGGGGCGCCTCACATCTGTACTGCCCAGTGTGTAAGTCTAAACGTGGGAACTCGGAGCTGGACGGAGCTGGGAGGGCTGCGCGTCCCGCGGGCGCGCGGTTCCCGAGGGCAGCGTGGCCGGCGGCCCGTGGGGCTCTCCTTCCCCGCGCGCGAGCCTTGGGTTGCTCCTTGGAATCCACTCGCCTGGAAAATGATTCCAGTTGGGCCAAATACATGGCAAACCAGGGGGTAGGCAGCACCACTCTTAATTACGATGAAGAACTCATATCTACTTAAATCTGTCTGCAAAGGGCTTTTGACCTTCTCATTACAATGATGATCATATTCAGAATGATTTTTCCCTTCATTCCTGTCTTGTTCCTGTTTATTAGGGCATATAGCATAGAGTTCTTCGCCTAATTTTCAATGATGAGTGAAAACCTCTGAAGAATGAGAACTTGAGGAATGTTGTGCTTGCCTTTTTGGGTTTCAAAACAGACTTATGATAACAAAAAAGGAAAGAAAAGCTGCTGATTTGAGATTTTATTTGATCACAATTTAAATGTCTTTATAAATATTTAAATAGCATGATTTAAATACCCCACTTTCTGCTACTGTAGTTTATAAGTGATGTTGTGTAGGAGCAATAGTCCTAACGCCTTTGGTCAGATTTCTTAAAATGTTAGAAACGTTTCAGTTTAACGTTTAAGCGGGGTTTAGCCTGTAGTGCTTCAGGAGCCGCTTGGGCGGAGGGGCACACTTGGCTAAAAGCGATGCGGGAGCTGCGGGTGCCGCGGGGCAGCGGTCGGAGCGCGGCCCCTTCCCGCGGCCGCTGTCTCCCCGTGCAGGTGTATCACCTGGCGAGCGTGCGCCTGCGAGACCTGTGCCTCAAGCTGGACGTTTCCAACGACTTGCGCAGGAAGATATGGACCTGCTTCGAGTTCACGCTCGTTCATTGCGCCGACCTCATGAAGGACAGGCACTTGGACCAGCTCCTCCTTTGTGCTTTTTACATCATGGCGAAGGTAAGGCATCCGTTTAAGAAATCTAGGGAATTCTACTCCAGTGTGAAAAGTTAGAGGGCCCGTTTTTCAAATTCCCAAATGTTTTATCTGACTTTGTAGACTTTTCCTTCTTTATCTCCTAGTGCTTCTAGAAGAAAAGTTGGAAAGGCAATAATTCCTAAGCAAGAGAGGGGGTTGCTAGCTAGTTTACTGCTGTCAGAGTAAAGATAAGAACCTGCTTTGATTTCTGAAATGAAATTCAATTGTTTTCTAAAGTTAAAAAATCCTAGAGTTTGCGGTTGGTCTAGAGCAACTTCTTCTTATCCAGGTAACGAAAGAGGAAAGAACTTTTCAGGACATAATGAAAAGTTACAGAAATCAGCCCCAGGCAAACAGCCATGTGAGTAAATAATACTGCCTTTCCTTTGTATAAATACCAGGTGCAGCTGGTATTTATCTTCTCAAATGTTTCTGCTAGTAGTAGAAAATCAAATTCTTTTAAAATTATTCAGATGGATTTTGTCTGATCTTTTTACTCGCCTTCCTTGACAGCAGTGTTTTCCCCTCTGTCCTGTAGGTTTATAGGAGTGTTTTATTGAGGAATATTCCTGAGGATGTTCCGTTGGACAAGAACACGAATCAAGATGTTGAGATGACAGACGGTGAGCGCAGCCAAGTAATCTTCTGTTTTTAAGAGTGTTCTCGCCTGCTTTAGAAGAACTGAGTGGTGAGGTAGTAATGAATAGAGTAGAATGAGTGGAAGAGTGGGACGGCAAGTGCCCTGGTAAGGAAAGGGAAGCGTGGTGTAGGCTTTGAAATTGGAAAGCAGCATATGGAAGAAAACAAGCTGTCTTGTCAGCTGGTGTTGTCGGTGTTAGAGCATGGAAAATACACTTTCCACTTAAAATAAATGTTCAGTGGGGTTGGATTGGGTGCGTTGTTTTTCTTCTGTCAGTTATGATACCTTGAAGTGCATCCTTGGTGTGTGCCACAGTGTGACAGTGACCTTGTAGTTCTTGGACAGCAGTTAATAAGGGAAGATTAATAGTACCTAAAATATTCTGACTTTTTAAAATGGATTTATGTTATTGCCTTAGGCTTTGCAGGGAGAACGTGTTCTTCTGGGCCACCACTTTAATGCATTCAGATCTCTAGGTTCAGCGTCCTGTCTAGCAGCTCCCGGCTTCCTGACGTCTTGGGGTACCTGACGTGCTGGGCTCCCACGTTCCACCAAGCGAATGGGCTTGGACATAGCTGCCAAGGAGCGTTTATGTGACACCTACGCTGTGACAGGAAAACTTGTGTAGTTGCAGCTTCTTCCCCTCGTTACGTGCCTGAACAAGTGCTTGGCCTCCTTGTGCCAGGGGCGTGAGCTGAGCGGGAAGCTGCTCTTTGCCAGCTGATGACTAAACTGCCTGGAGAACCTGGAGCTTGTCAGACTCCTTCAAACTTTAGTTTGCCGTGAGTGTTGGAGAAGTCAGGGTCTGCAGTTTGGCAGTTTTGACTGCCTTAAAATTGTTCAGGGTCCTGGCTAGTTGTATTCCTGCTGTAACTGGATCGTTACCTAAGCAGATAAGTGAACGAGGTGAGACTTGGCACAACGTCACGCGCTCGGCGCTGGGAGGCCGCCCCTCGATTGCTGTGCCCAGTTTTGGGCCGCTCGCTACCAAAAAGACACAGAGGCTCTGGCGTGTGTCCGGAGAAGGGCAAGGAAGCTGGTGAAGGGGCTGGAGCAGAGACCTTGCGAGGAGCAGCAGGGGAGCTGGGTTATTCAGGCTGGAGAGCGGGAGGCTCCGGGGAGACCTTCTCGCTCTGTACAACTACCTGAAGGGAGGTTGTAGGGAGGCGGAGGTCAATCTCTGCTCCAGAATAACTACCCAGTAACTACCTATAGGACAAGAGGAAGCGGCCTCAAGCTGCACCAGGGGAGGTTCAGGTTGGACATTAGGAAGAATTTCTATGGAAGGAGTGGTGAAGCCTTGCGCCAGGCTGCCAGGGAAGCGGTGGAGTCGCCGTCCCTGGCAGTGCTCAAGCAACGTGGAGATGAGGCCCTTGGGGACATGGTTTAACAGGCGTGGTGGTGGCGGGATAGTGTTTAGACTTGGTGATTTTGAAGGCTTTTCCGAGCGTCATGATTCTGCGCTCCCCCCACAAAAAGAGGGCAATAGTGCTGTGTTGGTGACGAGGGGAACCACCAAGAGCGTGCCTCATCTTGACCCAAGCAGACTTACCCAATCCATTTTATTAATTGGTCAGTATGAGACTGAGTTCATGTCAGCTGCATATTGTACATCTGAATCTGAAGAAACTCAGTTTGCTGCTACTCTGTTCTTGAAATCTGAAGCTCGCTCTCATTTTTAGACTCCTCTGAGAAAAGTTGTTCCTCAGCACAGTCTGCGCCAGAGAACTGCAGGGAGTCCGGGGCAGAGGAGAGAGGTGATCTGATCACATTTTACAATGCAGTCTATGTAGGAAGAGTAAAATCATTTGCACTGAAGTACGATATCACAAACCAGGATCACGTAGTAAGTAAAACACTTTTGAATTTTGGTCCATCTAATAAAGATCATAAAGACAAAAAGTTTTTACTGCCAGTTAAATAATGTTGTTAATAATTGAAATTATCTTTTAAAAAATATTTTCTAACTTAGCTTCAATGCCAATCTGGCCTCTTTCAGATGGAAGCGCCTCCCTTGTCTCCGTTCCCAAACATCAAGCAGCAGCCGGTGTCCCCTCGGCGGATATCTCAGCAGCACTCGGTTTACGTCTCGCCGCACAAGAACGGCGCCTGCTTGACCCCCCGAACTGCCCTGCTCTATAAATTTAACGGGAGCCCTTCCAAGGTAGAAACCAGGAGGGTTGAGAGGGCTGCATTTGGGAGAGGGACGAGCCGTAGTTTCGTGGTGGGAAAGCTCTCCCTGGCAGCAGGGATACTTGGCCAGGTTTCTTGGTTTGTGCTGAAGGGCAACCTCAAAAGTCAAAACAGTAGCTCTCTATTTCCAGATAACTGAAAATCAAAGCAATCTGAGGTCTAGTAACTCAAGATGCTTTTCTTTCTTAATCACAGAGCTTGAAGGACATCAATAATATGATAAAACAAGGTGAACAGAGAAGTAAGAAACGCGCGATAACGATTGATAGTGACACGGAGTCCCCTACGAAACGGCTGTGCCAGGAAAACGATGATGTTCTCCTGAAGCGACTGCAGGATGTCGTCAGTGAGCGAGCAAATCACTAGGGCTGCCTCTTTTCTTCGGGATCTAAAAGCTGCGGAGTTCAGTGCAACTCTCGTGCTGTTTTTCCTTGCTTTCCAGCCATTTTGTATATAGAAAACTGCCAAATTGTTTTAAATGCTGACGTTGCCTGACTTCCGTAGGATGCAGATAGGTGAAGTAGCGAACGTCAGGAATAAGCATGATGGAAAATGTGTTAGAAGTTGCAAAAGCCTGATCTGTAGGAAGCTGCATAATTCAGGGCATCTGAATTCTGAGTGTGACTTGGCTTCCAGTAAGTGCTTTTATTTTTGGAATAAGGACTTTCAGGGAATAATAAGTGGAGTCAGTTAATTGTCTCAAGCTTTCAGTATTTGTCTGGGGAAGAAGCTTTCAAAAAGTGCCTTATTTTAAGAGCGTGGAAATCTTATGCAGTGTTACAATGTGAAGTGAATGGAGTAGAGAGGAAACTGTCAGAAAGAGGCTTGAACGGCGTGGTTTCATGGGATGTGCTCGTCCCTCTCCTCCCAGAAGAGGAGACAGGCCATCCCGCCTGCTGCAGGGCCGACCAGGTCAGCCTTTGGCCGCCCTTGGGCCCTTCCCATGCGCAGGTTCATCTAACAAATTGTATCTCTTAATATTTTTTTTCCTGAAGACTTTAGTCTTCTGTTGTATAGTATCTACACTGAGTGTAAGCCCGATCAGCTAAGGCATGCTTGTATATGTGATTTTTATAGCTAATAAGGGTGTGGATTCATTGGAAATATATAAATTCTAACATCTAAGTTGTTTTCACTGAAGGATTTTGATAGGATTTATTTTCCCAAAATGGAAAAAAGTCAAGGTTTGGTTTTTTTACTGTATATCAGTAGTTTGATCTTATATCATAATTAGGTTTAAGATTAGAGCCATACAAAAACTTCCCAGCACTGTGTTTCTCAAGTCAATGTGTGTATATTCTACTCTTGTTCTTTGGTTTTTTTTTTGTTTGTTTTTAACGATTGCATAGGACTTGTTTAAGGAGCTCTGACTTTGATTTGTTTAATGTGTGCCAATAGATTGGCTGGACCTCAGTTCTGTGGAAAATAATTTCATGATTTCAAACCATCTCAGCTAAAGAACCTGGTCAGCCATGGTGCAGGAAACATGTATTTAAAAGCATACATGAGGCAGCTTACCATATGCTTAATTCATTTTTGAATTATTAATTACTCTTTGATTTTTTGGTAGAGTTGGAAAAAGGTGCTTTTCTATTTGTAGTGTGAGGAAGCAGCTAGGCAACGCACTGGGTTTAATGTAGACCCCTCATTTCCTTTCTTCTGCTGGAGTGTTTGGCTGCAGCTCTCGGGATGGGAAGGCCGGGGAGCGACGTGGCCGTGTGGAGGTGCCGCGGTGCAGGGGCACGGGGTGCCCGTGCAGGAGCACAGCTGTGATGTGGGGACGGGACAAGCCACCCAGCCCCGTGCTGGGGCCGCGGCGCCGCGAGGGAGCCCCGCGCACGGAGCTCCCTGCAGATCCCGGCGTGACCGGTGGCTGCCCTCGGCCTTGGCGTCGCCAGTCCTTCAGCAATAGTGTATCGTGCTCTTTTCTGAAACTGTAGAAAAATAATGGTGATAAAATTTTTTCTAGTTGTCATGAGACACTTTTTTTTTCGTTAGAAAAAATAATGTGCAACAACTGAGTGCAGTTCAGGTTTTCTCGTATTAGATTTGGCCCTTTTTAGGTGCTAATAGAAAGAAGGTTTTTGTGGTTTTTTTTTGACTTGCTAAATGACTAACAGCTTATGTGACAATTTTGTAACGGTTTCAAAGTGCCTTCATATGTAAATATGTATTTTATAATAAACAGTTTTTAAAAATGTTTCACCTTGTGCTGCTCAGTTTCTCATGGCAGTTTGTTTAACTGGTGTCCTCTGCATTTTTAGTACTGCCAGATTCTTTTCTGCCTTCCTGGAGTTGGATTTCTTTTTGCTTTGATTTCGTTTTCTTTCATTTTGAATATTCATTTGATCTGTCCTGCATTTCCCTCTGGGTTTCTGCATTGTTCGTACATCAGTCGGTTTCTGGGAAGAGGAGGCGACTGATGAATTCACTGAAGGAACCGAAACAGTGAGAAGGCAAAAATCCTGCGGTGCCGAGTGACGGGAGCAGAGACTGCAGCAGAGCATTAAATGAAACCCGTGGCCAGGAGCGCATCGTTCGCGGCCTCGCAGCGCTGCAGCTCGGCAGGGTGACGCCAGCGGCAGCAGTTGGGAGGCGTTTTGAGCGGCAGTTTGGAGCAGGTTGAGGTCGGTACCAGCAGGGTTTAGGCTGCTGTTGTGGCTGGCGTGAGGCTGGCCCGCAGCCAGTGCTCTGCCTTTGTGCTCAGATCCCTATCGGGTTCTGTTGTGCACCTGTTCTAGGGGAAAGAAATCAAGAGGAGTGATTTGACTGTGCGGAAAGTCATTTTAATGACTCCGCGAGACAGATTTAGTGTCGTGCACGAAAGGTTTAGTTTTCAAAAGACTGTTAAACACAGTTTCCATCAAAAGTGATGATGAGGGGTATGGAGCCGTGCAAAGGTGGCTGGTTTTTCTCATCAGGAACTTTTCCTTTTGCAGATCAGCCTGCCAGCGAGGTGCAGGCCTCGCCGCTGGGCAGTGCAAGGTGGGAAATAGCTGCTTTTCCCAAGCCCTGAAGCTTCCCTCGGTCTGTTAGGAGAGCTTTTCCTCTGCCAAGGAGACTTCACTAATTCCCCATCTGCAGATGAGCACCTTCCCAGTGCTTGAGGCGAGTTCGGCACCTCTGTGTGCTCCAGGGTGAAAAGAAGGGTTGTTGAGGCTGCCGGGTACAACAGGCCTCATAGCTCCTAATAGCTCTGTGTGTGTGTGTAGGTATGTACATACATATGGACGTACACATTTTGTAACCCAGTCTGTTAGGTTACCACATTCTGAGTACTAAGGTATGGCCTCAAGAAAAACTGTGGTCAGAGTGCAAATAAGCCCTGCTGGAAACAGAAACTATTTTTTTTCTGATTTGCCTTCCTGTTAGGAAATAATCCTTTGTTTCTAAATAATCTTTTGTTTCAACCTTGTGACTCACGGCTGGGGTTTTGAAGGCTTTTTGTGGGGTGGGGTGACTCTTCCTCCCCTCCCTTCTGACAGTCAAGGGAGGTCGGGTTTGGCTCTGTAACTGGTGTCTTTGTTTCTGAAGTTCCACTAATTGTCACGTTGTCACGTAGTTGACAGGGGCGTCTCAGCACCCACGTAGCAGCCCTTCACGGGTATCTGATGAGCTCGATGTTGCTTGACTCCTGGCTGTGCCAAGGCTGTGAAAGCCCAGCTGCCCTGAGCGCTGGGAGTTTGGGAAGGCCGGTGAGGGCCGGTGGTGGATGCGGTCGGCCCTTTCTGACCCTTCCGGAGCCAGAGCTCCCGGCCGCCCTGCTGGATCCAGGCACTTGCAGGTGTGGGGGCTAACGCTGCTGCGGAGCAGGGAGCAGCTCCAGGGGGCCCCGGGGCCTGGGCTGGGGCTCCCCTCTTGCCAGCAGCACCAGCGCTGCGGCTCTCGCTCAAGGGCTGCGGGTGCTGCTGGAGCAAGTCCAGCACAACCAGGACAGGCTGTCAGCAGCACATGAAGAGGGGAGAAATAAAAGAGCTGCTTCTTTAGGAAGAAAAACAATTCTTCTTCTTCCTAACTTCTTTTTTTTTCCGCTCCCCTGCAAGGGATTCCTCATGGAGTAATTTTAGGTGTGGCTTTTTTTTTTTTTTTTTTTTTTTTTTGTCATCTTGAAACCATGCCGAGTCACCGTGCTGCACCTGCTAAACCAAAGTTTGCTGTGTGGTTGGTGTGGCTGGAGGGAGGAGGCGCAGTCTCCGGGCTCGGAGAGGGGCAGCCTCTTGGAACGCATCTTCCTCTTCCTTCTCAGAAGGCATCTTTCTCTTCCTCGGTGCTTGGTTCGGACGCCATGCCCATCACCGCACTGTCCCTCCTGCGGGCAAGGGAGGACCCGCGAGTCGGGATCCCAGTGCTGCCTCCCAGGCGAGTGCTGCAGCATTAACAGTTTCTCTCATGATTCAGTGTCCTGCCACCTTCCTCCCTGTCTTAGGCCCCGATAAGATCCCTCTTGGATTTCTTGGAGCACACCCGAATTATGGGTGCTATAGATAGGACACATGATTGAAACCCCCTCCCCTTCCCAGCAAACCTCCCTGGGGAACATCCATCTATGGAGATACTCAGAATAAGGCATTTCTTGACACTCTTCCAGGTAACGAGTGGGTGTATGAAACCTGTTTCTTTGAAAGGGCGAGCACTGGTGGAGTTTGGATATCATCTCCGTGTGGGAATGGGAAAGGGCGTGAGGCTCTTTGGTGTGACTGTTCATGGATGCAGCCTGCTCTTGTGCACTGAGCTGTCTTCCAGGAAAGGGAGCATTTCTGCCCCAGAGGCTGGAACAACCGGCTCTTAGGCCGGTTGCTGCTTTTTTGGAAGCAAAGCACTAACGGAATGTGAAAACCCTCGACTGGGAGAGAGACTTTGGGCCTCAACAAGGCAGTGAGTGTTAAGTGTGCTTTTGGGACAACGGATGCGGAAAAATATATGTATATATTGGCTTATGAAGGCAATCGCTGTAGCTTTCTTGTAGTAGAAGATGGCAACCTTGCTCCCTGTAGAGACCTGAAGAAAAGTCAAGAAAGGCTTTTTAATAGGACATTTCCCCCACCCCTTTGCGTGGCTGTGACCTGTGCTGGCAATTTGTGACGAGACCGCAGCCGCTCTAGGAAGCGTGTGCAGCTGCTGAAAGAAATGACCTCAGCTGTCCACCTTCCTCCCCAGGGAGCCCGTGCAGCATCCCAGTACGCGTGAATTTTTCAGAACATTTTAATGATGTCTCCTTGAAAAGAGGGGACGCTGTCGCTCTGTGCACGCCCCTTTGTGCCCGGCCCTGCAGCGGTACAGAAAGGTGTTGGGACATGGCAGTGTCCGACGGCCCCGCAAGGGCCTTGGCTCTCCGCTGGTGTCGCTGACCAGCGGCGTGGAGGGTTGTCCACGAGGAGCCCAGCGCCATCACTGTGGCAGTGTCCCCGGGAGCAGCAGGAGCTGGGAAAGCCGCGGTGAAGCAGACAGCTGCTGCACCAGAGGTGACGCCACCCGTGGCCTTGGCCATGGCTCGCACACCTCGAGCAGGCCGGTGGCCGTGGGCCTAGGCAGCTCGTGACTCTTGAGCCAGGCGCTGGGGTCAACAGGTGGGAGCCCAAGTCTCAGGGCACTTCTGAGGACTCCACAGAACGTAAAGGCCTCTTGGTGCAGAGCTGGTTTTTGTGGCTGTTGGGACACTAGCTGTGGAGACAGCAACCGACAAAACAGGCCCGCTTGTGTCTGTGGAGGCCTTGGTTTCCCGTTACTGCTGCCGTGACGGGCTGGGGAGCGTTTGCTGTCACTGCTGCTGCTGTTCTGGGAAAGGGCGGGCTGAGGAGGCCAGTCTGGGTGTCCTCAGGAGGACTGGGTGCACGCACAGGGCCTTGGGGCTGGCAGGGCCGTGGCCCTAGGCGGTTCCCCTTGCCGTGGGGGAAGCCCTTGTCCCGCTCCCGCAGCTCTGCTCTCCCGTTTTATTGGCACATCCAAAGCTTCCACGTGGAGTGACTCAGTTCAGAGCGCTGGTTCCTGAGCGGGACGCCGGCGGCCGCGGGGCAGGATAACGGCGGGCGGGCCGCGCAGGGGCCGGGGCTGCCCCGTGGCCGTGCGGGAGCCTTTCCGCCCGCTCCGCTGCTGCCGCCCAGGGAAGGAGCGGCCGGCAGCTCCGCAGGGCCCTTGGAGGCGGTGCTGGCTCCGGGGCTATGCGGGTCTGCGGTGGCCGC